CTTCCAAACACATGCCCACTAATCCTCTCATCACCTCACCCACACACCAGATTCACTTCTGATTGATTGATCAGAACACAGTGAGAAGTGAAACATCAGTGACTCATCCTGGACCTGCCGAACTTCTAAAACAAGGAGGGGGGAGGGGGGGTACACCTTTCCAGGTGCGACAGTCTGGCCGGAAATAAATAAATAAATAAATAAATAAATAAATAAATAAATAAATCAATCAATCAATCAATCAATCAATCAATCAATCAATTAACCTCCAGCAGCTGCTGCACCTGTGAGGCACCACGCGCCCCTTGGCTCCACGCGCACAAACAAACACGACGCACCTTTTTCAGCGCTGACATGTTCCTCATCAAACAAGGTCACGTCTTCCTCAAACGTAACCGGCAGATAAACAAACGAGAGGCGCGGATCGCGCCGCCTGGGATCCGTGAAAACACTCATGGTCGTGGCGTCGGTTAGAAAGCTGCGCAGCAGCGCGGCAGTGGTCTCCCATGATGATGATGAGGAGGGTGAGGACGGTGGTGATGAAGGCGGCCGGCGGGGGTCCTGTTGTCCGACACGAGACCCGCAGCAGCGGCGGGCTTCATCCTGCTCCTGGACTGGACTGGGGGTGTCCCAGGTGCTGGGCTCAGTCAGAGCCTCTGCTGCTGGTGTGAAGGCAGCCTGGATCCGACGCCATTTTTTATTACACGGTCTGCACCGACTAAAACACAAGTATTGACCCAGAGCTGCCAACTTTTCAAAGTTAATTCTGTTTATCTCGTTTTATCTTAGCTGCTTTTCTAACTTCATATTTTTCCCCCATTAGCCACTCTGTTTGCTAATCTGTAACTCTTTGCTTTCCTAAACCATAACCATATATTAGGGCTGTGAAATTAATCGAGCTAACTCTGATTAATTTTAGTGCTGCATGGACATAGATTAAAAATTTTAATCGCAGTTAAAATTTACGATCACTTTACTTTGGCTGAATATGTAGGTTTGTATATTACAATGCACTCAGTGCCAGGTCATGTTTGTAAATAAGAGGTGGTTCTCAAACAGTTTACCTGGATAAATAAAGGTTGAATAAATAAAAATAAAAAAGCTCCATGTGTAACCCATTATGTACAGTTTTTTTTCTTTTTGTCTTCTTATGACTTATTTTATTTATGTTTTGCTGACAACTGTGACCTTAGTATCTATCTTTCATTCCTCATGTCATTTGGAATGAAAATCCTTGAATTCTTGATTTAACCTCATTATTCTGCACAAAATTTAACTGACTCAAATATGTTTGGGGCATATTTTAGGTCCTGATTTTTGTTGTTTTTGTGCAAACAAGGTGATATTTTCATGATCAGTGATTGTGATTCGTTTCCCATCCAAGTCATCTCAACTTTGCCATGCTTCTCCTCCTGCATACTTTGTCCTAGAGCTGCCATTGTAATTTATTTCTGTAAAGCCCCTGTGCCAA